TGAATGCGCCAACTACATTGGTCTAGCTTGGCACAATGTCAGTATCCATATCCCATACCTGAGCCGTCTCATCATAAAACATTTGTCAGAATGCCTCCAGAGTTTGCGTCTGTTTAGTCCAGGGTCTGGTCCATCCTGGTCCTCTGGGGTCTGTTCCACTAGCTATGGCTTGATGCATGTGTAGGCATTGGTGTGCACTTGTTGGCATGCATTTGTTAGTGTGCATTGGTACGTGTGTTAGCACACATTGACATGTGTTCCTGCTTCTGGGTGCACACATTGGAGGGTATTTAAATGCCTTCCCTTATGTTGGCCGGGGCTGTTTCTACCTATTTCTATGAGATTTCTGCTGCTCCTGCTTTACCTATTGTTGACATGGAATTCCTGACTCTTATCTCTCCCATTGCCAACTCTACCCATTTCTGTTTTTCTCCTACCTGCGGCTTGCCTGAGCCTCTGCCTGAACGCTGACTACTCTCTTGTCTGCCGTCTGCCTCAACCTGTGCCTGAACACTGACTGACTCTCTTGTCTATTGCTTGCCCTCAGCCTCTGCCTGAATGCTGACTGCTTTCTTGTCTGCCACCTTCCTCAACCTCTGCCTGAACACTGACTACTCTCTTGTCTGCCGCCTGCCTCAACCTCTGTCTGAACGCTGACTACTCTCTTGTCTGCCGCCTGCCTAAACCTCTCTCTGAACTCTGACTACTCTCTTGTCTGCCGTCTGCCTCAACCTGTGCCTGAACACTGACTACTCTCTTGTCTATTGCTTGCCTCAGCCTCTGCCTGAATGCTGACTGCTTTCTTGTCTGCCACCTTCCTCAACCTCTGCCTGAACACTGACTACTCTCTTGTCTGCCGCCTGCCTCAACCTGTGCCTAAACGCTGACTACTTTCATGTCTGCCGCCTGCCTCAACCTCTGCCTGAACAATGACTACTCTCTTGTCTGCCGACTGCCTCAACCTCTGCCTCAACACTAACTACTCTTTTGTCTGCCACCTGCCTCAACCTCTGCCTGTACGCTGACTACTCTCTTGTCTGCAACCTGCCTCAACATCTGACTGAACAATGACTACTCTCTTGTCTGCCGACTGCCTCAACCTCTGCCTCAACGCTAACTACTCTGTTGTCTGTCGCCTGCCTCAACCTCTGCCTGAACACTGACTACTCTGTCTGCTTCCTGCCTCAACCTCTGCCTGACCACTGACTACTCTGTCTGCTTCCTGCCTCAACCTCTGCCTGAACACTGACTACTCTGTCTGCTTCCTGCCTCAACCTCTGCCTGAATGCTGACTACTTTCTTGTCTGCCATCTGCCTCAACCTCTGCCTGAAACTCTGACTACTCTCTTGTATGCCATCTGCCTAAACCTCTTCCTGAACACTGATTACTATCTCGTCTGCTGCCTGCCTCAACCTCTGCTCAGACTTTGACCTTCCATTATATCATACCCTGTCTCTACAGCATAGCCACCCTGTTTTTGTGACCCCCTTGGTGGGGCAATCCTAAGGGCCAGGACCTGATGTAAGCTTGCAACAAAGTAGCCCGGGGACAACTGGATTCACCAGCCCACCATTGCTTTAGGGGTCTTCTAGTGAAGATCAAATTGTCTCCCCGCACCTTGGGTGAGCCCACATCTCCCATCAAGGGTGTCAGCCTTAACAGTTTGGGTATGTAGACACTTTAAATTAAATTATACTCCTATTATCACTAACCTATTAACAGTGTTTCCAGTTAGACTGTTTTAGTACCTACACTAAGGACTCATTTATAGTAGCGGTTGGGGAGCAGTAAAACCACCCATTTGAGTTGTGTTTGTACTGCCCCCCAACCGCTCCTTCTTTAGCTGGAGAGGCAGCGGCCTGAGGTGTACACATGCTGCAGCCATGATACTTTGCTTCACAGTTGTGGTAGGATTTATACCCTCTATATGCCCATCCACTGAACACAACCCATTGAAGTGAATGGGGCCGCACTGTATGTAACCACCTTGCAATTGTGCACAACGCACATGGCTGAGGCATGGTAGTCAGGCATATAAGTAATTTAAACAGGTGGTGAGCAGGTGATATAACGCCTCTTCACCATTCATCAAATACTCTTTGAAGAGCCATCCGAACAAGGATCACACTTCAGAGAGCAAAGCAAGTGTAAACGAGGCCTTACCCCAGGTTCACACCTAAGCGTTTTCTGCAGCGTTTTGCAGAAACGCAGTACAGTCCATTTAACATTCCATATGGGACACGTTCACATCTGAGCGTTTTTTAGCCGGTGTGTTTTTTTGGAAAGGGTCAGTGACTTTTTTGAACGCAAAACGTTGCTTTTTTGGTTCTATAGTCTTCAATGGTAACGCTGTGTTTTTGATGCAGAAAAGCATGCCTTGCGCGTTTTTTGCTGTGTTTTTGATGCATTGTTTTTTGATGCGCCTTGCGCTTTTCTGCAGCGTTTTGCATTTTGCAGAAACGCAGTACAGTCCATTTAACATTCCATATGGGGGACACGTTCACATCTGAGCGTTTTTTAGCCGGTGTGTTTTTTTGGAAAGGGTCAGTGACTTTTTTGAACGCAAAACGTTGCTTTTTTGGTTCTATAGTCTTCAATGGTAATGCTGTAGAAAAGCATAACATTCCCTTGCGCTTTTGCTGTGTTTTTGATGCATTTTTGATGCTTTTCTGTAGCATTTTGCAGAAACGCAGTACAGTCCATTTAACATTCCATATGGGACACGTTCACATCTGAGCGTTTTTAGCCGGTGCGTTTTTTTGGAAAGGGTCAGTGACTTTTTTGAACGCAAAACGTGTTTTTGGTTCTATAGTCTTCAATGGTAACGCTACCGAAAAGCATGCCTTGCGCTTTTTTGCTGTGTTTTTGATGCATTTAAAATCTGCCTAGCAACAAAAAAAAATGACAACCCCCCCCCCCCCCCCCCCCGCAAAAACGCAAGTGCAAAAATGCACCACAAAAAGCACTGCAGAAACAGAAATGGATCAGTTGCAATCCAGTGTGAACCTAGTTATAAAGTGGTGAATCTGACATTAGCCAAACATTCACTACAGGTGAACATTGCCTGGCTTTGTAACAAGGCAAGGCACCCCCCCACCAAAAACAGATTGTTTTAGCATGCAACTGATGTGAATGAGCCCTTAGAATTACAAGTACATTCCATCTGGGTAGGTGGGTGAGTAATTCCCCATTGTTCTTTTTCTCTTAGTACTTGGGGCGATGTTCTAGTCTCTCTCCTCAGTTCACATGTTGAACATTGTTGCAGACAGATGAACACTCTCCAGCCGAGCATGGTACCATGGACAGCTCCCACGAGGCTCTTCCTCTCCGACATCATTACCAGCCTCTGATTAGGTTTTTATACACATCATTTGTATCAATTAACAGTATAATTACTTTTCGGTCCTGCATGTGTCAGAGGAAAATGTGCTTTGGGATCTCTAGCTGCCAGGCACTTCTCCAAGAAGGAACTTCTCAGATGAGAGTTTATTTCTATGGTTCTCAATAGTTGAAGAGAGATACTTTGATTAAAAAAAAAAAACCAAAACATATTTTTAAACTGTTATATTTTGACATTATTCAGCCCTGGTGCTGCAACATGATACTACCAGAAGTGCAGAGAATACAGATTGCTGTGTCACTCAAACCTGACAACAGTTTACTCAGCCCTTTACATATTGTACATTCACACCAGTCCCTGCCCTCAAGGTCCCTATCCTACAAACACTATATTGCCAAAGGTATTGAGCCAGCCCTCCACATCATTGCATTCAGATGTTCCAATCATTTCTATGGACACAGGTGTATACAATCAAGCCCCTAGGCATGCAGACTGCTTCTACAAACATTTGTGAAAGAATGGGTCACTCTCAGGAGCTCAGTGACTCCAAGCGTGGTCCCGTGATAGTTTGTCACCTGTGCAATAAGTCCATCCGTGACATTTCCTGGCTACTAAATATTCCACGGTCAACTGTTAGTGGGATTATAACAAAGTGGAAGCAACTGGGAATAACAACAACTCAGCCACCAAGTGGTAGGCCACATAACATGACAGCGGAGTCACAGTGTGCAGAAGTTGCCAGCTGTCGCAGAGTCAATAGCTAAAGACCTCCAAACTTGGTGTGGCCTTCAGATTAGCACAACAACAGTGTGTAGAGAGCTTCATGGAATGGGTTTCCATGGCCGAGCAGCTGCATCCAAGCCTTACATCACCAAGGGCAATGCAAAGTGTCGGATGCAGTGGTGTAAAGCACGCCACCACTGGACTCTAAACTGCTATATACTGCTGATGAGAAAAGGTATTTAGCAGTTTATATTTACTACAATAATTGCATTTCCATGTTCTGTGTACTGTGGGAGACCAGATAGAGTGAATGTAGGGTCTGGGGAGACCAGATATAGTGAATGTAGGGTCTGGGGAGACCAGATATAGTGAATGTAGGGTCTGGGGAGACCAGATATAGTGAATGCAGGGTCCAGAGAGACCAGATATAGTGAATGCAGGGTCTGGGGAGACAAGATAGAGTGAATGCAGGGTCCGGGGAGACCAGATATAGTGAATGCAGGGTCCGGGGAGACAAGATAGAGTGAATGCAGGGTCCGGGGAGACCAGATATAGTGAATGCAGGGTCCTGGGTTTTGTAACACTTTAACTTATCAAACTAGCGGAAGTTTGTGAAAGCAGGTATCTACCCTCCAGCAAGGAGAACAGTGGGCAGCGCTGACATTGATGATCAGTGTGAAGAATGCTCCTTACATTGGAGGTCATTGGAAAGAATGCTCCTTACATTGGTGGTCATTGAGAAGATTACATTGGTGGTCAGATACAATACAATGGAGGTTAGTGGGAAGAATGCTCCTTACATTGGTGGTCAGTGAGAAGAATGCTCCATACATTGGTGGTCAGTGAGAAGAAGGCTCCTTACATTGGTGGTCATTGAGAAGAATGCTCCTTACATTGGTGGTCATTGAGAAGATTACTCAATACAATGGAGGCTAGTGGGAAGAATGCTCCTTACATTGGTGGTCAGTGAGAAGAATGCTCCTTACATTGGTGGTCAGTGAGAAGAAGGCTCCTTACATTGGTGGTCATTGAGAAGAAAGCTCCTTGCATTGGTGATCATTGAGAAGAATACTCAATACAATGGAGGTTAGTGGGACGAATGCTCCTTACATTGGTGGTCAGTGAGAAGAATGCTCCTTACATTGGTGGTCAGTCGGAAGAATGCTCCTTACATTGATGGTCAGTGGGGAAGCACCTTACATTAATGAGAAGAATGCACCTTACATTAGTGGTCAGTGAGAAGAATGCACCTTACATTAGTGGTCAGTGAGAAGAATGCTCCTTTCATTGATGGTCAGTGGAAGAATGCACCTTACAATGCTCCTTACATTGGTGGTCAGTGGGAAGAATGCTCCCTTACATTGGGAGGCTCCTTCATTGGAGGTCAATGGGAAGAATGCCCCTTACATTAGTGGTCAGAGGAAAGAATGTTTTTTACGGTGGTGGTCATTGGGAAGAATGCTCCTTACATTGGTGGTTAATGGAAAGAATTCTCCAGTCAGTGGAAAGAATGTCCAATTACACACCGGTGGCCAGTACTTTGAATACTCCCCTTACAATTAGCTGAAAAAAGATCAATGGTGTCAGTAGTAACTTATCTGAGAGGTAGATATTGCTCATTGCTCAAGGAACCAGTAGCAACCTTTGGGGAATCCCTAGAGTTCCATGCTTCTCTGGTTGAGAAAGGTTGATCTAGGATAGCTACGTAATAGAACTCTATTGTACTGTACATTAAGGAACAACCATCTCTGCTAGGGCACACTCCTACCTCTGACATTCACATAGATGACTAGGGGAATAAAAGGACTCTGCTGCCTTGAAGCAACAGAAGGCTCACCTGTTCTATATCATCAGCGAGGGGCAGGCTAAAGTGCAAAAATGTTTAGAGTGTCAGATCTGGCATTTCATAACAGAGTTCATCACTCTCACTTGCATGAAACATCGGTACTAAATTAATTGGCTGAATTTAGCGATTCGTACAGCTCATCGCTTCAAGCCTTCAAACCAATATCTTGACAGGTCCTCCAATAAAAAGGGTTAGACAACTCTTCCATTTTAACAATATTTCAATATTTGTGGAAAGAATGTAGTTAGATCTATTATAAGTGAAAGGATGACTAACACAATGAATCACCATGGAGGTGAAAACCCGTCTTTGTAAAAGACTAACATCATCACCAGCATTTTCTATAACTCATCTTCGTGCGTAAGCGCAGCGGAATTTAGCCCAAAGTTCTATTTCTACATAAAAATGACATCAAAACTCTATATTTCACAGTGTCATTGCTGGCATAGTTCTGAGGGGGATATATGGAACTTATCCATTTACATAAAGAATGCACAAAGAATGAAGCAAAAAATGGAATGTGTTACATGAAGTCCATATGCCGCACAATTATTAATAACGATGATCAAATGGACCCCTGCAAGATTAAAGCTAAAAGTAATGCAATTCTGTCATCATTAATACATCATTAAATGTGTTTTAATTAAAAGCAAGCAGTGTAACTACCTGAAGTCATCAGCTTCTTGAGCCCCCTTTACAGCAGAGCTCAGACTGGGGAAAGAAAAAGCCAAGAAGCTAATCATGTGTTGACAAGAAGCATGCTGACAGAAGGAGAAAGTAAATACAGAGAGTGTCAGACAGATGAGCTCATGGCTGTGCCGCTTCTCCTTCACTGCCCAGTCCCTGGCTTGAGGCGGGTACATGACAGCCTGAGCTCCGGGGAAGGGTGTTGACTGAAGCTGGCTGTCATTCAACTTAGAAGACTGAGGACGTCTACTGGTGGAAAATAAGTACTGCGGATGTTGGAAGGTGAATGGGCTATTGATTGTTTTTATCTGCTATTAAAGTAGTATACGCCCAATCACTAAAATATAATATAAGCTGTTAGGGTAATTTCAAGTGTCACTTTCAATAGTTCTAAATCTGCAGCTTTCATCATACTAATATAAAAGAAAGGCCTCAAACGCCTAATGCATTATCCACAGTACTTTACTAAAAGATAAAAAAAGTGCATACTAACAAAAGTTAAAATGGCTATAGTGTTGTATGGTAACCAAGAACCGAGGGTCTGTCCTATGGTGGAACTCCTCTAGTATAGATGGATGTCCTGTGACCGGCTGCCGCGTTTCGGGGGACAGTTTCTCTCCATCAGAGCATACCTCAGGTTTGCGCTGATGAAGGAGGACTGACCGCGAAACACGTCATCTGCTCACAGGACATCCATCTGAACTAGAGGAGTTCCACCACAGGACAGACCCTCGGTTCTTGGTTAACGTATAAACGATTTAACGTTTCTGAGTAGGCACTCGTTTTATCATATAGTTACACAGTTACATAGTTAGTCTGGCTGAAAAAAGACAAAAGTCCATCCAGTTCAACCATTAAAAAAAAAAAAAAAAAAGGTTCTAATCCTACACCCACAGTTGATCCAGAGGAAGGTAAAAAAAAACAAGCAAAGCATGATCCAATTTGCTCCTGCAGGGAAAAAAATTCCTTCCTGATCCCCCGAGTGGTGATCAGATATTCCCTGGATCAACTTTACCTATAAATGTTATATCCAGTTATATTCTGTGTATCCAAGAAAGAATCCAGGACTTTTTTGAAGCAATGCACTGAGCTGGCCAGAACCAACTCTTGAGGGAGTCTATTCCACATTTTCACAGCTCTCACTGTGAAGAAACCTTGCCGTGTTAGTCTTTATTAAAGTGCTGTAGATAATGCACTTGGCATTTGCGCCCTTTCTTTTATGTGTTTGTATAGCTACAAGATTCTCCAGACTGAAGAGGGTGGCATCGCCTATACCATCCAGTTATCATTGTGGGATATGGTGGATATTTATGGGCAGCACAGTGGCTAAATGGTTAGCACTTCCGCCTGGCAGTACTAGGGTCGTTGGCTTGAATCCCAGCCACGGCACCACCTGCTTGGAGTTTGCATGTTCTCCCTGTGACTGCGTTGGTTTCCTCCAGGTACTCCGGTTTCCTCCTACACTCCAAAGACATGCCGGTAGGTTAATTGGCTCCTCTCTAAATTGTCCCTAGTATGTGTATGTATGAATGTGAGTTAGGGACCTTAGATTGTACACCCATTGAGGGTTAGGGACTGATGTGACTGTACAATATATACTGTATGTGAAGCACTGCTTAAATTGACAGCGCTATATAAGTACCTTAAATAAATAAAATATTTGTGTCAGTCAGTTTGGACTCCCTGGAATTCCCTAGCACTACCGTATCAAGTTTTTGTTATTGTGTTTGAAAATTTATCATACTAATAGCTGGTGATCCTTTCAAGGACTTTGTTCGGGCACTTCCTGTTATAGGGTGACAACACTGTCCCCATTTCCCAACTGCGCTCCTGCGTTGTCACCCTGTCCCTTGAGATTTCAATGGAAACTATAAATGGCCAGTTCAACCAATTTTATCAAGAAATCTTTTTTTATCCTTTGGTGCTCCTGATATTTGGCAGCCTCTACACAGCTACATTTTGCCTTCATGCACTACAGTCATGAAAAATGCCATGCTGCCATGACTAGTGCATGAAGGCAAAATGGAACTGCGTAAAGGCTGCCAAATATCAGGAGCACCAAAAGATAAAAAAGAGTTTCAACAAAGGATGGAATCACCTCAAGCACCTACAATCACCTCAAGCAACAAAGGATGGAAAAAGGGGAAACCGTTCAGGACTCGGCTGGGTGAAGAAGAAGCAGGAGAGCCTTGCCACCCCGTCCTAATCCCAATCTCTTCTTCCTCAGCCCGGCTATGATAGCAAACATATAATCTGCAGCTCAAATAGGAGAAACTCTGTACTTGAGGTACAAAGGTTCCTGGAATTTACATATCTTCCTTCCTTCATCTATGCAGAGAGCAGCCATGCATGTCAACAACTAATTATTCTAGTTGTCCAGTTTGCTATAAGGACTCATTTGCATACTGAAGGCTTGTTCAAATCTCCGCAGTAAGAAATATTTTTATACAATAAATTTACAGTGTAGTCATGCAAATACACAGAGTTTTTGACTGAAGAAAGAATTCTCCTTAAAATTCTCACTATTCCTTGCACATCAGCTGAAATTTCACACTAGGCTGACAGGCTGGCAATATCAGCTGTAGTTGTGTATTCCTTTGAAAGTAATATGTGTTTACATGCTTTACAAATAATACACAAATTTGTCTTGATCAGCCTAAGGCATCCCATCCAAGTCAGTAAGAAGTATAAGCCGGCTACCCGGTATATTCCAAAGTCTTTATTTAGCGTACGTACGTCATGATGTCATGAGAAAGGCTATTGCGGCTGTGTCACGTACCTGATGGGAGACTGAATTGACGAGGTTGGCCTCACTTGTGTCACTAGCCCTGACCCCGCCCCGCTGAAGTTGGAACAGAGGGAGTCTAGGGACCAGGGGGACAAGAGCGCCAGTGGTTGTTGTTTGCAGCTCTTGCAGATGATGACCTTGGATGGCTGATGATCCCCTGATTTGGGCACCGTAGTAATAGGCAGAGCAGGTTTTGTAGATTGCCAGGCGTGCAGCAGAGCAAGGCAGATAGTGAGCACAAGAGACAGGAGCAGAGTCATGGAATAGCCAGGGTCAGCAACAGTCGGGCAGCACGGTACAGAATCAGAAGGAAAAGCCAAAGTCAGGAACCAGTATCGGGAGTGTAATCGAAGTCAGGTCAGCCAGATGGGTAATGGAGGAATCGTACAGGAACAAGCAGGACACGGGGGGAGCTGAAGACCAGTCAGTACTGAACATGAGCAGAGGTACTCCTTAAATAGGCTATCTGGCGCCAATCTTCGCTGTGCGTGTGCACGTTTGCCTGCATGTGCGCGATCGTGCATTCGTGCACGCATGCGCACAACCGACAATTCTTCTGCGGGAATTCCTATGCGCATGCGCATTTCCGATCGCGATTCTTCTTGCTGGAAATCCCTTACAGGCCGAAACATGTTAGCTGTACACACTACACTGTTTTAACATGTAGCCTAAATAAAGATTTTGAACTTTGGAATATACCGGGTAGCCGGCTTATACTTCCTAGTATGCTTTGCATAATAGCACATTTTGAAAGACCTACCTTGGAATGAAGCCTTCCAGGGGCATCCTGTCCCTGCTGCAGAAGGCTTTCATCTTCACTCTGTTTTCCTTCCAGGTTCACGGGCTGCGTCTGCTTGAATGGCTGAGTCACTGATGGTGTCACTCCCACGCATGCGCGTAGGAATTTTGGCCACAGCCCACAGCTCTGAAGGAACGGCACGGGGATGTCTTTCCTTCAGAGCGCATGTGCCAGTATTGTCACCAACTGCTGCTCTGTAGCATATCTCTTGAATAGTGGACGTTTAGGAGATATTCATTTTACCTACCGGTAAGATTTCTAATAAGCTCTCCTGTAGGTAAAAATATATAGAGTGACTTTACTACCAGTTTAATCCTTGCCTAGACAACTATTTCGCTTGTTTGGCCCCCCCCACACCTGCAACCTCATGAGACACGTCACACATCCCAGGAGGCTACAATACCAGTCCTGGTCTTGTATCCCCCCCTATATTTGGCAGC